TGTACCATTTTTGCAGTAGTATAATTGTATGGCAAGTCCAATCATACTCTATGCCCAGGAAAGTCGAGAAATTTTCCAACCCGAATAATTCCTAGACCAGACCGGGAATCGAACTCAGCCACCTCCAGCATGATCTTGCTTTGTAGCTGCTCCTTATCGACTGAGCTAAGGGAGGCTCCAAACATCTACTCTACTACTTGTTGAACTCAAATAATAGAAGTAATGGAAGGGTGATGATTTAATGAACTTCAAGGCAACGTGCAATCATTTTTAACAAGCATAGAAATAAAAAAACCTAAGTAGAGCAGACTTAGGTTTTTATGTCTCTGCTTGTTAAAAAATGATTGCACGTTACCTTGAAGTTCATTAAATCATCACCATTCCATTACTTCTATTATTTAAGTTGGTTGGTTTATTTTGATAGTGAGCAAATCTTCTAGGGTGTTTTCACCCAAGGATGTGCGCTGATCTAAAATCGTTAACGCCAGAGCACTGAAAGCACGTTCCACTGATACTTGCATCGATGGAACGGCCTAAATTACAGCAGCTGCTTCAAAGAGATCCTTTTGCATGATTTTCTTCTGTATCCAGTACTCCCAAACGTTGACATGGTGTGGTTGTCGCAATCCAACATCCAACACACTTAACTGTTCTGGAAGCGTTTTGTTTGGGATACATTTCGGGTCTCCGCTTGAACCTGCTAGACAGCCTCCAAACATGTCCGCTAAAAAACTGTCCAGTTCATCCTGTTGAACAGCTGGCTCAGTAAACGTGGCATGCTGAGTGCAAGGTCTGAAATCCGTGCGAATGTATTTATGATGAATTTCTAAAAGGTAGAAGTTAATAGGTTGACAATTTAATAAAAATAAAATTTATTAAACAATCCTATATGAAAAGGCACTATAGATTCATTCAAATACTCTCATTCTGATAAACAAAAATCATTTTGATTCTTGAATGTTGTTATTCAAAAACCAAACATTGTTCTTTCAAACCAACATATTATTTTTTAGCATCTAACACACCAACCACTTTGCTCGATGAATGCCGTTCATTGACTGTTTTTTCGGACATTCCCAACCCAAAACGAAAAAAGGAATTTGAATGAAATCAAAATGGGAATGAAACCAGAGCGAAAGGGAGCGACTGTACGGGAGAGGATTTTGAAGAAGAGAAAGTGGGAATGTTTTTTGGTATCTATTCGCTTTACTGTGCATCGGTATGTATGAATGCAAAGCGTAGTGTGGGGGTATTGAATGGTATACAAAGTACCGCACATAAGGGAGTGGTGAAATTGAATTCATACTGCTGCTGCCGTTCGCTAGAAAAAAGGAACGATCAGATGCCCTGGAACAAACACAGCTCATTTTTGTTGTACATCTTACATGCTGAAATATGTCCAGTACAGTATGACTATAAAATTTTGAGCTGCCGGTCTCACCTCCGACCACCGGGCCGTAGTTGATGAATATCAATTACTTTTACTTTTTGATTTACGGTTTAGCGACTTTGCAGTCAATTTAATTGTTTATAGGAAAGTTTGAACATACTGATAGGTAAGCACATATCATCGGTAAGAGACGTGTGTGTGAGAAAATTTGCGAAAAAATCTAAGGGCACCATAGACGATTGTTGTGTATCAGAGAACGCTTGCGCAAAAAGACTAGGGTGGGGAACGGATTCGAAACTCAAATGTCATTAGTCAAATACATCCGTAGACCATAGGTTCACCGTTGTATAATTGGCAATGCACCAGTGTACTGAATGGGAATTGTGGGTTCGAATCCCACCGGTGCCCTTAGATTTTTTTCGCAAATTTTCTCACACACACGTCTCTTACCGATGATATGTGCTTATCTCTCAGTATGTTCAAACTTTCCTATAAACAATTAAATTGACTGCAAAGTCGCTAAACCGTAAATCAAAAAACAGGTTGATTACATTTGAAAGTATACTTAAAATGCTTCCCAATGCATACCAAATCACTAGTCTTCTTTAGTATTCTCTGCTGATCTGCTTATTACCAAACTATAGGCCCCCCTATTCTGCGAGTCACGTGACTCTCTCTCACCGGTGAGGTGACAATAGTCACCTCACCCGTGAGAGAGAGTCACGTGACTCGCAGAATAAGGGGGAGGGTCACGACTTCCCGTATGATTGTGTTACTGTTGTTTTCTTAAGTGCACAAACTTCTCCGAAGACATTATATGGCTTAAATGGATCGTTTTCGCATAAACTAAAAAACGCACGTTTTGGCACTTTTAGACCACTGTGCGCTGGTGCAAAACTAAATCGGCTTAAAACTGTCGCCATAGACGTTGGTTTCATTGATGGAGACCCACTAAACGTGCCGTGGCTGTGAAGAAAATGAAGATAATCCGCGCAATGATCAAAATTAACTGGGATGCTCTCGTATCGAAATTTGCTCAGCAGCTGTGGTTGCACTCGCTGAAGAGTGTTAACCTGCAACAAAAAGTAATAATTTTAAACACATTCATCACGGCGAAGATTTGGTATGTTGCATCCATTCTCCCGCCGTATTGTGTTCACACGGCAAAAATTACGGCGACTATGGGCTCTTTTCTGTGGCGCAGACTACCACCCCGCGTTCCAATGGAACAAATGGCGCGCGACAGAGCTTCTGGCGCATTGAAATTGCAGCTACCAGCTATGAAGTGCAAAGCGCTGCTAGTGAATCGTCACATGCAGGCAAGTGGCTCCCTTCCCTACTACCAATCCCTTCTTAACCAAGATATTCCTCCCCCTGTAGATCTTCCCTGCTTCAAGCTGATTTCCCAGCAAATTCTCCTTCTTCCTCCACTTGTACGAGAACACCCCTCCAGTGACCAAATACCTCGTCTTTTTTGGAACGGACGGAAACACCACGGGTTGAAAGGAAAAATCCGGGCGTAAACTGGAAAGGAATTTGGGCAAACATTGCGACGAAACAACTGTCATCATGTCATCGGAGCAGTTTATTTCTGACGCAGTTTCCGGTCCACTTCACAGCTTAGACGCCTTAATTGCAGCTTCCGGGAAACAGACAAACGTTCCTTGAAACATTTCAGTACTGCACAGACGGTGGTTTTGGCCATTTTCAACTCCTTTGCGAGCCTCGTACCCCACGATGTCAGGTTTTCATATCTTGTGTGTAGAATTAATTCTGTGGCAATTCAAGAAAACAAACATTTGCACAGGATTTCAAGAGAACGACATTGTAAACAAATTTCTGTCAAAAGACCACTAGGAGCGCTGTACCGGACAAAAAGAAGCGTACCGATTCTAAATTGGCAGGGCTTTAGTCTCTTCAAATGATTTGCCATAGCCCTACTGTTTCGATAACTCTAGAAGTCGACTTCAATGTCGAATTACAGAGAATTGACTCAAATTTCATATGTTTATTCATGAATGTCGGATCTAGGGGTGATTCAGATATGATGTTCACTCTTTTTTGCGAATCCACTGTTATAAGGATCCGTCAAGAGCGAATCCGTACCTTAGGAATCTTGACTGTGTTCTTTTCCCAGGTGTTAATTATTCTAATTGAGTAAACACTCTTACCCCGCAATAGTCATCTGTTCGAACTGTAGTTAGTCTTGTGTAGTTCCCTCCTGGGATATGTTGTGTGTCGCGTGTGCATCCATCACCGGACAAAACGGCCACAGCCCTAACCTTAACAACTCTCCCTCCTCAACTAATCCTTTTGGTCGAACATGCAGAAAAGCATTCCATCGATTGAGTCTTCCCATCCGAATGTACACCACTGAAAGGGAACAATTGCCCCTCCTATGGTACTGTCCAAGGTGCCGCGCTGCTAACCATCGTCAACATGTGGAACAAATCGATCCACCCAAATCGGTTCGATCCATTGCAGTTCAAACCGATGATAATGATGTTGAAAGAAACACGTTTTTAAATTGTTCATTTGATTCCGTTCCGAAACTAAAATCCTTTCAGAATATTCAAAAATCTTTCACCGATACTTACGAGTATCTGATGGTCGGAAGTAGTTTGGTTAATCGTAGGCAGAAAACGGAACAAAGTGTCATTAAGAGTGTTGCACCTCGTCAAAAAAGAGTATCATTTTACGAAAGCGTCAACAACGGTAGGAGTAGTTTTCGATCACTATAGCGTAAATAGCTTGTGGCGATCTTTGAGCAAGTACAACACTGTAGATATTAAGCACATTACTCGCTTCCTTTCACACAAGTACACTAACACCAGTTAAAACTTTTGCAAACAACTATAATCTCAACTTTACATTTAGTCTAAGTACGGTCTAATTGGTGACGGGAATCAGTGTTTCTAGGTTTATTTTCTGTGATCTTCTGTTCCAAAACGTGGATTTGGGTTTGCATTTAATACTGTTTTCACTAAATTTCTTCTTCCGTTCTCATTCATACTGACCACTTTTTCATTTCTTATCTGTAGTATCTGTTTTAATTTCCATCGTTACTAATGTTTATGTTGATTGTTTTGTGTTTGGGTTTGTTTTATTCCGTTGGTCATGCCATCCTAACCAATAATCTGAGGGTAGTGGAAAATTTGTACAAAAGTTAACCTGATTGGATCGATTCTAAAATAACTGATTCGACAGCTATCTGTTTCTTTCGATTGAACAAATCCTAACCCAAAATTCTCTGTGATTCTGAAAGCTCAATTATATTCTCAACTATAGCCTCAACCCGATATAGAATGCTCGTTATTAAATCATACCTTTTCTTTCGATTCTCTTCTCTTCATCCATATTAAACATACGAAAACGCATTATTGCTGCATTTACTGTGCTGCCACGTTTGCGCTGCTGTGAACGTTCGTTGTTGCCAAATTAAACCACCACTGAAAACTACCTGCCTTAAATCATGCGTGTTGCCCTGAACTACTAATCATTCTTCCTCAACGCCGTGGATTCGCCCGACGAATATGTCCAAATCCAAATTAAAAAAAAAAAAACGTTACATCCCCCGTATGCGCCTGACCCTAACACAAACCAACATCAGATTCCGACTCTGGTCTGGGACGTGCGACGCCACCGAGACGGGCTCCGTCGCCCGGCATGGGACCTTCGAGTCGTCATCTGCCATCGCCGTCGGGCCCCGGTTCGCTACCGCCGGGCCTGATCACCAAACGTCGCGGCTTCGACGATGGATCCAGTGATATCTCTTCCACCGCCAGTTCCATGATGGACTACAATGGTTTGTATCGCTCGTGTTTTTCTCCTAATACATAGGCTAAATTGTGTTGCCGTACGTTAAATAGTTTCCCGACTAACTCAAACCAAAACCAACACCGATAAACGAAACCGTTCGCCAATCGTTAACATTGTTCATTTCAGGGCCCAAGCTTTACAAACAACCTGCGACCAAGTCGAATCGGGGCATCATCCTCAATGCCGTCGAGTACTGTGTCTTCCCGGGGGCGGTGAATCGCGACGCCAAACAAAAGGTGCTGGAGAAGATTGCCCGGTCCGAGGCGAAACACTTCCTGGTGCTATTTCGGGATGCGGGTTGCCAGTTCCGGGCCCTGTACGGCTACTGGCCGGAGAACGAGCAGATCATCAAACTGTTCGGAACGGGACCGAGCCAGGTCGACGACGTGATGTTCGATAAGTTCTTCAAGTAAGTAGCATTACATAGTTAAATAGCAATATCGGGTTGAAAATGGTGCACATCACCCTCGATCAAGTCGTGATGTACACACACACAAAAAATGCAAGGTAGACCCCTACTTCGTCTGCTGTGCTAATTTCCGTCGTATGTATGTAAAAGTACGTTTGGTTTGATACATAGGTTCAAACCTGCAATACTAATTGTATCGTACCGTCAAACGGGGTGACTTGCAACACTTGTATTGATACGCAGTTTTAGCAATACGAAACTAACGATTTTAAATTGGCTCACTACTTGACTAGCCTATTGGTCCCAAGCAAACGATTAACGTACCGCATTCTTGTCGAAATTCTACTACTACACAATGTTTGTTTTGATTCGCTATGAAAGTTTGACAGATAAAATGAGGGGTTAGTGGATTTTCCTATGTTTCGAGGGGTGAATCCATTAGCTTGGGACCGAAGAGAGTACCAGAGCTGAGCCAAAAAGTTGAGTACGTTTCTTCGGGACCTGCTAGTCTTAGAGTTACCTCTATGGTTTTAGTTCCTTTGTAGTGAAAATAAATTGTTTTTGTTTCTCTGGCATCATCAGTGCAGTTGATTATTCAGCTCATATTTAGACATCGGAAACCGTAAGTTATTGTTAGAAAATAAGAATAATCCCACCAAAATCGGTCACCTCCCAGGTTTTAGTATCCAACCATAGATAAAATTCTGTAAAAACAATATAACTAATAAATCTTATTGCTGTGGAAAAATCAACTTTTCTGATATGTGTCCCTCTGCGGGATGACTTGCAACCGTTGATATGCAATAGTTTAAAGCTTTAAAACTGTTTGTTTACTTTCTAACTGTTATGTTCACTGATGAAAGGAAAGCTAATTAGTAAAGGTTAAATGCCTGGGTTGATTTCGGATGAACGTAGTCTTAAGGAGGTGATTCCAGGATGGTAGTCGAAACAAGAGTGACGACTCGTTAGAATGGTTTATTCCATGAAACCTTACAGATGAAACAGATATCTTCATGCTACTGTTTCTATCTCTGTCTTTACAAAATCAGAACTGTCACAGTATACTTCACTAACAAAATGGTTATCAACACTTTCATGTTACATCCGGAATCATGCCAAGGCCCTACAAGAAGCCTGCTGGAAGTCGCACGTATGCTAATTTCTCAAAAGAAACTTTGGAAAAAGCGGCGCTAGAAGTTAAAAAGAACAGCGGTACAAATTATGTCCTTCAACGGTTTCCCGTTACTTGAAAAAGGAAGACATTGAAAAGAAAGCTTACGGTCGACAATTAGTGTTTACTAGCCAAGAGGAGCAGATGCTGGAAAATGGTTTGTTGCTTGCAGCGGAGTGGGGAATGCCTTTCCAAAGGAATGATCTTAAATTGATCGTCAAGGGGTTTCTGGACAGCCAAGGAAATAAGGAGAACCGTTTTAAAAACAACTGCCCTGGAAATGACTGGCGTACATATTTCTTGAAACGGCACACCGTGCTGTCAAACGGATTGTCGGAAAATATTAAAAGGTCCCGTGCAGCTGTTTCGAAAGAAACAATTTCCAACTATTTTGGAAACTTGAAGGAATCTATCAAGGATGTGAAGACTGAATTCATCATTAACTACGATAAAACTAAACTAACAGATGATCCAGGACGCTCACAGGTCATTGATTCCACAAAAACAAGTACTTCCGTGATGTTTGCTGGAACGGCATCGGGTATATTGCTGCCTCCATTTGTTGTATACAAAAGCCGTTTTTTGTATGACACCTGGACAACCGGAGGACCTCAAAACACGGTGTACGGATGCTCTAAAAGTGGTTGGGTTGATAACGATCTGTTTGAGAAGTGGTTTTTTAAGGTGGCACTGCCATATTTTATAAAAACACGATGACAAAGAATTTCGTGCTCCAAAAGTTCTAATCGGAGATAATTCAGCAAGTCATCTATCCTTGCGTGTGTTGCAAACGTGCAAGGAATTCAATGTAAGATTCATATTTCTTCCACCCAATAGCACACATCTTTGCCAACCGCTCGATGTGGCATTCTTCCGTCCGTTGATAATCAAATGGCGAAATGTTCTTTTGGAGTATAAGTCGAAGTTCTCTGGTACAGTACCGAAACATTTGTTCCCGGGTCGCTGGAAGTTTGCGTGCTGGATTCCGTACAACGGGAATATGTCCACTCAATCCACAACAAGTGATGCCAACAATGAAACCTAGGCTGAAAATTCATGGTCCGTAAAAAGCGAAACCTCACTGAACCTGGACAGACCGTGACTGCCGAAGACGTGATGGAGAAGACTGGTTTGAATTCCTCTTCAACAACAACGAAGCGCGCAAAGACAACCAAAGTTGGACCAACTAACAACAACAGGAAACAGACTAAGCAACAAGTGCCTTCAGCTCATCCTCCGGCACCAAAAGCATCTCAGAAAATTTCAAGATCAAACATTACCATATAATCAAATTGTTTTAAAGTTCTGTTTTCATTAAACTAACAAAAGTGTCGCAAGTCACCCCTCCTGCGGGGTTTATATATTTTAATATTTTCTAGTAAATTATAAAATGCAATATTTTTTTGTCTATTTATATTTTCGAGTATGAACACTCATTAAAATTATCGCATAGTTCTAGAACAAAAAAAACTTGATTTTGAAAAGTTGTGAAGAGAGAAACCTGAAAAGTGTTTGCAAGTGACCCCGTTTGACGGTATGTTACAAATATAAAATCAAATTAAACTACGTCTCTAAGATATTCTCCCTAGTTGGTTGATCAGGGGATGTTCAAAAGATCTTCAGCTGATCGAATATTTGAGTAAAGTTCTGTGGATATTCAGGTCTATCATGTAGGGGTAAGAGGGGCATAGTGAACAGGTGCGGCGTATAGTGAGCATCCCGTGCACCAGCTTGGACTTCCGGCCGTTCGGAACAAATTGGTTGGTGGTAGGATCAATATCATAATGATATTGAACCTACTACCAGTTGATTTGTTTCATGCAGCTAGAGATCCAGCGCCAAACTGTGGGATGCTCACTAGGACCCACCTGTTCACTATGCCCGGGGGGGGGGGGGGCAATGTATTATTAAAAAAAAAGTTACGGATTGTGTCCAAAGCACGACCGCATTGTTTACGTAGAACTACAAGATTAGTTTTGCTGCTCCTTTCAATAATATAAATATATTATTAATTAATAACAAAATAAATGGTTTAGAAATTCAACTCCAAAATAAACAATTCATTTTTTTTAATTAGGCGGTTGTTGAATATATCGTAACATTGAGTTTAAATTTTTGAAATTAGAAAATCAGTTCGTTTATTATGTATAATAAGGTTCCAAACATGTTCACTTAACTTATTATTGATAGTCATGGCAAAACGACTTTAGAAATCAAAGTGCACCTGACATCACAAATAATCTTTATGTTGCATAGTTAATTTTTTTTGTCATTAATATAGAGATTTTAAGCCATATGGCTAGTTCATCTCTTAGGATAGTATAAAAAAGGAGAAAAAAATTGGGTTCTCAGAAGGAGATTCCCAATCTTGGCTGTGGTACATTTATCTTGCTATAATGAAAAGGTGTAGAAAATTGCCAAAAGGGCAACAAACTGGAAATACAAACAAGGAACACTCAGATATTCTGGTAAAGGTTCTCCTCCTTTAGGAAGGTTATGAGGGCGGCTGCTGCCGGGGACTCGTCGCCCAACAGGTTCCGAATGCTGATTGACTCCAAGCCGAAGGCAGCCCGAAGGTCCTCCAGCTCTGCGCAGTTCACGAGCACTCCGCAAGTTTCGCAGGTCCTCCGGAACGGTGTTCCTCCGAAGTTGTGGGAGACTCTGCTGTGCCCGGTGTGCAGCTTTGACACCACTTGTTGCTCTCCTAGGCTTGGTCGATCCTTCCAGGTTCCGATGGTCGCCTTGATCTTCCGAAGGTGGTGTGCCCTGTTGTTCCTCCACTCGGTGTCCCAGGCTCTCCGAACCGTCCGCTTGATCCACTTTTTGACATCTTGAAGCGGTACATTGCCGGTGGTCCAGTGTGGCCTGAGCCGGCGAGGTCGGCTATTACGTTCCCTTGGATCCCGCAGTGACCGGGTACCCACATGGACATGAATACAGTGTTGGGCGGCGCGTGCTTTACCGTCCCTTGGATCCACGGATGCTTCGGTGTTTCCATTGTTAGGGCCAATATCACGCTGTGTGAGTCAGTTACGACTAATATCGGCCGGTTGGCCTGTAACTTAACCGCGTGGAGAATGGCCGCTGCCTCAGCTGAGAACACCGAGCATTGGGTCGGGAGCGATCTTTTCACAAGTAGACCATCTGAGGAGACCCACCATTCTCACTCCGCTCCTGGAGAGAGAGAGAGCCGTCGGTGTACCTAACTTCATAACCTTGGTAGTACGCCCGGGAGTTTCGACAACTGTCCGGCGTAAAGCCAGCGAGATGTCTCCTGCCCTGAAGCGGTCCTTGATTCGGTTGTCAATTTTGTTCTTGTGCGATTGCCAACTTTTGTCTCCGTGCCAGTGGACCCTGGCCACTGGAGGGAGATCTACGTCGGCGGCCGTGCGGAGGAGTCGGTTCGCCTCGTCGAGGAGAACGATCCTGTTGTTTCCCGACGTTTTAGCGAAAAAGGCAGCGGCTTTGGTAGCAGTAGCTGCGGTGAAAACGAGCCGAAAAGGTAGGATACCGGCTTCAACGCATGCAGCGTTGGCCGGGGTAGAGGGCAGGAGACCGGAGACTTTTCGAACGTAGCCGTTGTACACCGGTTCTAGAATCCGGACGGCTTTCTCGGCGGCAAGGCATGTTATCTCTACACCGTACAGTAGGCGACTGTTGATGATGGCTCGAGCTACGTGGAAGCAGATTTCGCGATTGTTGGATCGGTGGACCCCCACGGTCTTAATCAGGTTAGACCGACTGCGATAGTCCTTCTTTACTTGTTGGAAGTGCGGCTCAAAGGATAAATTCCAATCGAGGAGCACTCCCAAGACCCTCACGGTGTTTTTGGTCGGTATTGCTTGTTGTTTAATCATGATGGGCTGTCCGTTGTTGCGCTGCCTGGTGGTACATATAAGGCAGCGCACGCTCTTGCCGGCGGAAAGCTGGAAACCAACAGAGTCAGCCCATCTGACCACCGAGGAGACTGCCGCTTGCGCTCATCCGCGTAGACGAAGATGTAAACGTTCTTGGGTAGTTGGTCAAAGACCCCATTCATGGCCACCAGGAAGAGGGTGACCGCGATCACCGAACCCTGTGGCACTCCGGTTTCCTCACCGAAACCCGAAAAGAACTATGGCAGACAAGTGGCTTTCAACTAAAACTTATTCAATTTAACTGAAATTTTGTTTATCTTTACCTGTGCTCAATTAATAATCTATAAAACAGCAAACATTGTAATTCAATAAATGGAATGTCATTGTTTCATTGAAGTATATTAAACAAGCAATAGAATGGATTAAATCCCGTAGATAAAACATATAGTTCTAGTTCATAACTTTCCTTATTATTTGTTCTCTTTTTGTTCGACCAAAAAAAAAAAATGTTTTTTTAAATTTAACGTTTTTCGCGTTTTGTAATATTGCCAACTCAGAGAAAAATTAGCATTTGGCGTCAAATTATCAGCTTTAATAACATGCTGTGTCAGTTGCGTCGAATTATTTTCCCTGAAACGGCAATATTTGAACGGGACCCAAGATGGAAATAATATGGTAATCTCACTGAAAATCGGTCGATACCGCCGATTTATCCCAGGAATATAACTCTTTCTGTAAAACTTTGTGGTCGTGAGAAGGACCAATTGTTCGATCTCCATTACGTTGTCCGATGTGAAAATGAGCTTCGATACGACATCGTTCTTAACTTAAAGCTCATCCCTTACCTTACCTCACCAATCAGGCTAAGGCCTTGTTGTCCTCTGCTGCCCGAAGAAGTCGTCTCCACTCTACTCGATCCATGGCCACACTTCGCTACTACTACTACGAGTCTGCGAAGGGTCCGCAGGTCGCCTTCTACTTGGTCGATCCACCTTGCCCGCTGCGCGCCTCTTCTTCTTGTTCCTGTTGGGGCGCTTTCGAGAACCATTTTCACTGGGTCATCGTGCGACATTCTAACGACATGCCCAGCCCACCGTAGTCGCCCAATTTTCGCAATGTGGACGATGGATGGTTCTCCCAGCAGCTGGTGCAATTCGTGGTTCATTCGCCTCCTCCACGTTCCGTCATCCATCTGCACTCCACCGTAGATGGTACGCAACACCTTCCATTCGAAAACACCAAGCGCGTTGGTCCTCCACGAGCATAGTCCAGGTCTCGTGGCCGTAGAGGACCAACGGTCTAATCAGCGACTTGTACACAGTCAACTTCGTGCGGCGGCGAATTTTATTCGACCGGAGCGTCTTCTGGAGTCCAAAGTAGGCACGATTCCCTGCCATAATGCGTCTTTGAATTACTCTGCTGGTATTATTTTCGGCGGTCACCAGTGAGCCCAAATACACGAACTCCTCGATTTCGTCACCGTCAATCTGAACTCGGGGTTGGAGGCTAACATTGTCTTCCCTAGATCCTCTTCCTCTCATATATTTTGTCTATGATGCGTTGATGGCAAGTCCAATCCGCCTAGCTTCAGCCTTCAGTCTGATGTACGTTTCAGCCATCGTCTCAAAGTTCCGTGCCATGATGTCAATGTCATCAGCGAAGCCAAAAAGCTGGATGGACTTCCTGAAGATCGTGCCACCCGTGTCTATCCCAGCTCTTCTGATCACACCTTCTAACGCGATGTTAAATAGCAGACACGAAAGTCCATCGTCTTGCCGTACTCGTGCATAATCTGCCATAGCTGATCTCGATCGATTGTGTCGTATGCGGATTTGAAATCGATGAACAAATGATGTGTGGGCACGTTGTATTCGCGGCATTTCTACAGAACCTGCCGAATCGCGAAAATTTGGTCCGTGGTAGCGCGGGCAACCATGAATCCCGCCTGGTATTGTCCCACGAACTCTCTTGCTAATGGTGACAGGCGGCGGCATAGAATTTGGGAGAGTACCTTGTAGGTGGCGCTCAGCAGTGTGATCGCGCGGTAGTTGCAGCATTCCAACTTGTCGCCTTTTTTGTATATTGGGCATACGACACCTTCCAGCCACTCCTCCGGTAATATTTCCTCCTCCCAAATCTTGGCAATTACCCAGTGCAGCGCTCTAGCCAGTGCTTCACCACCGTATTTTAATAGCTCACTTGGTAGTTGATCTACACCAGTTGCTTTGTTGTTCTTCAGCCGACCGATCTCCTCCTCAACTTCTTGAAGATCAGGGGCCTTCTTCTGCGTCGTCTTCTGCGCGTGCTCCAAGGTCTGTTGCCGTGCCACCTTCGTTTTCTGCTGCTTCACCGTTGAGGTGCTCGTTATAGTACTGCTTCCACCTTTCAATCACTCGTTCGTGAGAAGGTTACCGTCCAAGTCCTTGCACATATCGGCTTGCGGCACGTAGCCTTTGCGCGAACTATTTAGCTTCTCGTAGAACTTCCGTGTGTCGTTTACGCGGTACAGATTTTCCATCGCCTCGCGATCTCGGTCTTCCTGCTGACGCTTCTTCCTTCGGAAAACTGAGCTTTGTCTGTTCCGCGCTTGTCTGTATTGCTCCAAATTCAATATCGTGCGGTGTTGCAGCATTCTCGCCCGTGCTGGATTCTTCTCCTCTACTAACAGTTTGCATTCGCCGTCAAACCAGTCATTTCTTCGGTCCGGGATCACAGTACCTAGTGCCGCTGCAGCAGTACTACCTATGGCGGAACGGATGTCCCTCCAGCCATCTTCAAAGGAAGCTCTTCCGTGGGTAGTGCAACTTCCAGCTGCTGCACGTAGTCCCGGGCAACTCCGGCGTCCCGTAATTGCTCAATGCTGGGTCGGGTCGTTCGACTTCGACGGGTGTCAAGCTCATCCCACACCTGCCCAACATCATCCGGTCGACTCTCCACTAATGAGAGCTAAATATGAGAGCGAGATAAAAATAGAAAATCGTCAGTCGGATCGGATGATATCGAGCGGATAGCTTAATGCAAAAACAGCTCGTTGAAGAGGTGAGTCTCGTTCCACCCCATCACTGGTTGTCAAGGTGATCACGCCGTCCGCTGCGAGGAAAATGTTTCTGCCCGACGGCAGAGAGAAAAATTCCACCTTTTACCGCTGACTTCCTGCTTGCCATGTCTGCCGAAGCGGAAATGAGCAGAGGCAGTAGTACTAGTGAAATTACGTTGTTATTCTAATTTACGTATTCACGTTTTTCAACTAGTCTACAGAATACCCTTTTCGAGTTCATTTTTGATTGAATTGAAAAAAAATGTGATACCCTACCTAACTACTAATAACTTAACCTAATTAGCAAGATCGCGTATGATCTGGTGATTTAATCGCAGACAGACGTCTCTGAACCTTTCCAGGCTGTGCGTACTCCGTTCCTTTAGTGTCTCAAGACCAGCCAGGTGGTGGATCTCAGAATTTCGAATCCGCGGTGGACTCTTCAGGATCATCCTAAGGATCTTGTTCTGGATCCTTTGGAGCTTGAGATGATGACACGGATCATTCGACCCTTATAGATGATGGCAGTGTCATCCGCAAACATTGACAAAATACCACCACCCGGAAGGGGAGGAATATCTGACGTGAAGATGTAGAAGAGGACTGGGGAACCCCAGCACCAACGTTGAATGTATCAGAAGGTGATTTGTTCAAGAAAACCTGGAATGATCTGCCCGACAAGTAGTTTTTGTTTATCTTAAACAATGTTTCCAATCTAATTTTCGCCCAAAATGCTGGACTGTTATGCCACACAGGGCATCATGAAACATTTAAAGGAATGTGGGTTTGACTGTAGTTCTCGCCACATCCATTTCGCGTAACGGCATGTACTCATAAGATCCATTTGCTTCTTCTCCCCTCCCCGTAGATACAACTCCGGCGGCAAGTGCTTCTCGCAAGTGCACACCAAACACCTCACCGTGACGATCGACGCGTTCACGATACACAACTCCCTGTGGCAAGGCAAGAAGGCGAACCTCCCCAGCAAAAAGGACATGACACTGGTCATTTGAAGCGCTGGCCCACTGATGATGAAGACGATACACCGTTACCTTTTATGGTAGGTAGATAGCCTCCTCGACGAGATCATCTCGGCTAGAATCGATCGATCGAGAGGGAGAGAGAGAGAGGTGTCTAATGGTGGTTCGAAAAATTCCTATCACTACACCCCATTTATCTAACACTGTGTCAAATCAAGACGATCGCTCTAACAACAACAACAAAACAAACAAAACAGGAAAGGGACAGTATTTTTTCCTCCTCACACACTAGTGTCGTGCGTGTACCTATGTCTTTTTTATCGTGTTATTTAATTCAGAGAAATTAAAACTAAAACAACGGCAAAAGCCAGGATGACCAGATGAATTGAGGCCAATGAAAAAGCTGTGCTCTTGTGAATGTAATTCAATTGCAGGATAATTAGTGCTACGCGAGAAGAATTGATTGTTTCTAGCGAGACTTAGTTAAAGCAAAATTTCGACAGCTATTACCTTTCCGTTTGTTGCTTAGAAGGAAACTTAACAAAAGCACTAAATCATTTGTTTGCCTTCTTGTTTCTTTGTAAAAAGGTATCTTTTTTCCGAAGTTGCAAACACAAACTCTAACCAATTTCTGCATGCTTACTAGGGAACCTCAAAATAACGACTGTTGTACATAGCTATATATATATATACCTAATATGAATAATTAACGATTAGTTAGCGCTCTCTTCCCAAATAAGGTTAAAAAAAAGTTATGTTCATACAAATTAAAATGACAAACAAGTCACTTTTAGAACGGTTCAAAACAATCATCGCAAACAAAAGAAAGTTCAGTTTTGTTACTACTATTGATTGCACGAATAAACGTAGCGAGTAATGTTTTTCTTCGGTGTCTAACAAACCCATCATCTATCGCGTATCTGTTCTTAGAGCAAATGAACTGCCTTCGAATGCCCCTTTCCTGATCTACTCATCGTCCTAATCCAATTCCTTTCTAGAAAATAATAGGAGTTACTCCCAAACAGAAGCCAACCATAATAATTCAATACAATAAAACACACACACACAAGTACTGAAGAAGGTAACTAAATAACTAAACAATTTAACCTAGGAAATTGAAGAAAATAGTAAATAGTGATAAGAATTAATTTATTTCATCCCGTGTTTCACCCCCCGTCTAATCGTATAATTCGAACTTGCATAGCGTTGTTTTCAATTTTATTGTTTTATTCTATTTTTTCTTACTGGGAATCTAACGAAATCCTAATTTATTCACTCAAGACCCCTTGGATCTAATTTTTCGTTCGTTTTAACAACACCAGCGCAGATGGTAACTCTGCAACTAGGGAAATGTATTAAAGGTAATCAATTTGAGCGCAAGTAAACCGGAGAGAGAAAGTGAAAAAAAAAACAAACGAGGAAAAAGTCCATTAGTTGTGTAAGTTGATGTTTGCGGTGTGGTGAAAGGAGAGAACACCACATCGAAGCCGCCCTCCCCCACCCCGATGATGCCGCCTTCCCCTAGCTCCCATCTCAGGCGGGCGAATAAAGACTTTTTTTGAACGAGAGCGGACGTTTTTTACCGATAGATTTTAGGATTCTAATTCGTTTTTTTTTTGTGTCAAGCGACAAAGCAACTCACACACAACCCGTGTCTAATCATTATTTTTTAAATAATCATAACGAAGTAATACTTGGTAGGATTATAATTTGTGGTTAACGCTTAATCGAAAGAAAGAGGGGATGTGCTGGAAGCGAGCTAATTAGGGAGCATTTGTGCAAAATAACTAAAGAAATAAAGATGAAAAGATTAACTTATTGCTAAATCAAATCAAATGACAGAAAGGGTTGATAACTATAAAAACAAAGAATGGTTATTGATTAACTATTTAGGGCTGTATGCCGAGCATAAAAGCATGAAAACAAACAAAAAATCCATATTTGACTCCTAACTGACTTATGTTAACGTGTACCAACTGCTGGTGGACTTCAACTCCATTTAATTAACTAGGAATTATTAAAAAAAAAACCTCTCTTCTTTTTGTACATCATCCCGTGTATTATTCTGATGAAAAAAAAAAAAACAAACAACAACAAATAAGAAAAAAAATGGAACAAACCAAGTTAATGAACGAAAAACCAATTTTATTTAAGGATCTAAAATATAATCGTTTTTATTAACAAACTTGCAGGCGGTGGTGATTGATCCGAACATCCTTGAACGCGCTGTGGTAGACTTGAAACTTGAGATATCTAGCGATGCTCTTAATCGCTTTTCTCTATTGCTAATAACTCGGCTGGATTCAAATATCTCGGTGCGTTTGCTGTTGACAAGCCAAATCATAACCTTTCACAGCACTGTATTGGAAACATTTCGGAAACATCTGTACCGGAGTGGCCAGGGTCCACTGGCATGGAGAGAAGAGTTGGCGATCAAACGTCGTCAAAATAGATAAGCGGATGTAGCTTTCAGACGTTCTGTTGCAGAGCTTCTCGGGTCGGTTTATCCGGGGCACGTTCATCGCTTTACGGACGGATCGCGGTCGCGGGCTGGAGTTGGACTCGAAGTGGCAGGACCGAACACTGCGACGAGTCAAAGTCTACCGGAGAAGTGTTCCGCCTTTTCCGCTGAAGCCGCAGCTATTCTAGACGCAGCCATCACTCCGGCAGATCAACCGATCCTCGTGTTAACTGACTCACATAGCGTCATCGAAGCAATGGAAGCCGAAGCCCCGAGCCACCAATGGATACAAGCCATTACACAGTACGCCCCACCATCAACCGTCTTTACGTGGATCCCCGGACACTGCGGTGCTCCCGGAAACGAGACTGCGGACAGACTGGCGGGATCTGGTGCATCCCGTCCCCGCTACACCAGGAACGTACCCCTCCTAGACGTCAGGCGTTGGATTGTGAATACTCCCCCCTATTCTGCGAGTCACGTGACTTTCTCTCACTGGTGAGGTGACAATAGTCACCTCGTGTGAGGTGACTCTCCATTTGATTTACATGGAGAGTCACCTCACACGAGGTGACAATTGTCACCTCACCGGTGACAGAGAGTCACGTGACTCGCAGAATAAGGGGGACTATTATGGATGCCTGGCAGCAGGAATAGTTCCAGTCGCGGACCACTTTCCTGAGGAAGATCAAGGAAACCGTACGCTCCTGGTTGGACAGCCAAAAGTACAAGGCCCAGCGGATCATCTCAAGACTCCGGACTGGCCATGCGAGGATTTCCTGTAATTTAGGTGGTACACCTTTCCGCAAGGTTTGTTCAATTTGCAGCATCCCCGCCTTGGTGGAACAGGTGCTGTGTGCAGGGCTCTACATTTTCGAAGCTCTAAAATAAACTCGAGTTTTGTTTCTCTCATACAAACGTGTTCAACGCTTCATTTATATAACGCCTAGCTAGACTATCAGCAAGAAATGATAATGAAAAAGAAGCACGTTTAAGGTCCGTTTAGACTATCTGATGTCTTGGTCTGATTTTGACCACCGCCATAATGAAAAATCTGCTCGAATTTACTTTCGACACACTTTGTCGAACCCCCCTGTTTGCTGGTGTTCACACTGCTTGCACATGTCGAAAGAACTGTCAATTTAGATTTCAAAACAAAACAGTATCAGGAATCAAAAGTAAATACTTCCATCATGAATTACCGGAAAATTGCTCTAGCTACGGCAGGCGTATTTACTTTTATTATTTTAAATAAAATGAGAAGGAGAAGGTGAAATTTGTGGAGTATGAAATGGTTGCTCAGGAGAAACACCGGCAGGGATCTGGCTTGTCTTGTCCTTCAAGACCTACGATATGAAGATAAAAATGGATTTCAAAACTTCGCCAGGATCTCGATACCAACTTTCGACAAGTTAGTGGGAAAAGTTCCCTAGATGATTCCTTGAGTTCTGAAAATTTCGGTTAAGAACTCAATTCTGCACATTTCTTTGAAGACCTTCGGACGTCCCTGAAGTTTTGTTTCTGTTCTCCGGAAAAATATATTTAAAGATCAACAAACTTTCCTGAAGATCTGAAAATTTCTCGGTAGTTCAACAGATTTCTTTGAAGTTCTATGTGTTCTTCAGAAGATCTGCAAAATTTCCTAAAAATTTACAATGTTCCTGAATCCCTGAAGATTTAAGATCCTTAAAGATCAACAATTATCTCTGATGTTCACAAAATTTCTAATAATCTACTAACTTCTCGAAAGTTCTGTAATTTTATCTGTAGATTTTCATGATTCAATGAATATCTGCAAATATCTCTGAACATCTACACAATTTCCTAAAGAATTAAAAGATTATCTAGACATTTTGAGCTTTCCGGAAGTTTTAGGAAGTTTTCTGAAATTTTACTTTTTTTTCTGAAGTTGTGCCAATATCTCTAAAGATCAGCGAACTTACCTGAAGTTCTGTTAATTTCTCTTAAAATCCAAGAACCGCAATAAAAATCATTTAAAATTTATTTAAACATCTGCAGATTTTTCAGTATATTTACGATCTACCCTCTGAACTTTTCTGAAGTTCCTAAAAAAAAAGTTCAAATTCTGTAAAGATTTCTGAAGTGCTGTATTTCTGCTCTGAAGATCTACGAACTCACTAGATCTCTGAACTTTTCTAAAGTTCTGTAAATTTCTTTGTGGATTCTTTGATTTCCATAAAGTTCTGCAGATCTATCTGAAATTCTTTGAAATTCCCCTAAGTTTTAAAAATTTATCGGAAGAATTAAGAAATTTCTCTGAAGTTGTACTTCTAAAGATCGGCGAACTTTCCCGAAGGTCTGTGAGTTTTGCTGAAGTTTTGCATTTTTTTTTCTAAAAACGTACGAACTTTCTGGCGTTCTGCAGACTTCTCTTGAGGTCTACAGACTTCTCTGAAGTTCTTCAGATCTATCTATTTCCAACTTCCATGGAGTTCTGCAAAATCTTGGACTTTTGAACTTCGCTGCGATTTTTTTTTTTTGGAATTGAGGTACTTTTATGGCCTTTTAACGAATTTTTCTGAAGATCTCACATTTTTCTGAAACTGTGAAGGTTTCTGAAAAATTCATGCAAATATCTTTAATGTTCTATAAAGTTTTCTGAAGCTCCGTAGTTCTATTTTCAAGATCTACGGAAAAAAACCGTAAGGCTCAATAAATTTCTCAGTAGATCTGCAAACTTCTCTGAAGTTTTGTAAATTCCTCTGCAGGCTCTCAAGCTACTCTGAAGATCTGAAATTTTCTCTGAAAATCTTCTCATTAACCTTAAGTTCTCAAATATTTTCTGAAAATATTTGAGCTTCCTTGAAGTTTTAAATGTCTCTCTCTCAAGATCTACAAATTTCCCTGAAATCGCATAAATATTTTTTTAATCGCCGACCTTTCCTGAAGTTCTGCAAATTTTACTGAAGATCTATGACCATTCTTGTAATTTTTTCCAAAGTTCTGTAGCTTCTACGAACTTTTCTGATGTTGAATAATTTTTCAGTAGATCTCCAAACTTCTGTGAAATACTTTATATTTCACTGTAGATTCTTGGACTAGTCTGAAGTTATGCGAATTTCCCTGAAGATTTGCAAAATTTCGCTTATACACACTTAAATTTTTTCGCCGAGATTCCAACAGCCGAGTAGTTCTGCAATTTATTCTGCTGAGATTCAGTAAAATAATTGCCGAGACTCAGCTAACAAATAACATTTTGCTGAGATATCAGCTAACAAACTGATATTTTGCAGAGATATCAGCAAAAGTAAATGCCGAGGTAATCGGCTGTTGGAGATTTTACCGAGCTAGATTAAGTGTGTAGTTTTTTGAATTTCTGTAAATTTCTTTTAATTTCTGTAAAATTTTCTGAAGTTTTGCAGCTCAATAAATTTCTCAGTAGATCTACTAAACTCTCTGAAGCTCTAAAAAAATTCCTAGTAGGCTCTCAGACCTGCTGTCTGGCATGCTTATTCTTATACAATATACATGCTTCGTATTATATAAACACTGTTTTGTTGACCATGCCAAGATCAAAGCCATTACGGCATCTTTCGGCCAATCACACTGGAAAATAAAAATCAGTCAAACCATACACAGGACCCGAACGATAACCCAAATGATTGAATTGTTACACTAATGGTTTGGATGATACCCTGAACACGTCGTTAAGCAAAATAACCATACACATTTTATTAGGGTTGCTGCTGGATGCCATCAAAACACAAATCAAAAAAAGAAAATCAATATTTTCACCTAACTTGCGGCTATTTTGCTGGATGAGTCGAATGGAAATTAAACGCAAACCTATTTCGTTCGACAAATCTAATCATCCTGTCGAAAAAGTGTGAACGCATCCAAACATTGCATCCGACAACATTATCGAGCAGTTCGCTCGAATAAGACCAACAAATCAGATAGTCTAAACGTACCTTTAGAAGCAAACGCTAACTGTGGATCTTCTCGTCGTTGCTTTGCACATCGCTTTCAATGTAAGTAACGTCGATTTTCTAGTTAAACGAAACCTCATTATGGCTTTCAATCCCCTTTCACGAACACTCTATCACCGCTCTTTCAATTTGTTTAAAATGCGTTATGTCCCGTTTTCGTTAATTTTTTTTAGATAAATATGTGGATGGAAGATAAATTAAACATATTACGTGTAATCTTCAAGTGTTTTCACGTGAGAAATGCTTTAAATGTGTTATTTCATTTTCCGTCATATACATCATGAAACCTCTGTTGATGTGTTTCATGAAAGAGAAAACTATCAAAATCGAGCGCTCTTTCGCTCATCCGTTTCACCGAAGCTTGAAAGGAAGACCAATGGAGCGACGGGAGAAAGAGAGACAAGCGATTGAACATTTGTTTGTGCACGCCGACTGAGGTTCTAGAATGCTGCGAAGCTGTTCGACTTTAACAGAAAAAGAAAGCCAGCAGTCTCTTCGTCGCATCGATTTGGTCGATTGAAGGTGATATTGTGACACACAGCCCGTCTGCCCGGAGTTCCAGAAGCTACGCGAACAACATGGACTCCCGGTGAACGTCAGTAATCTGCTTGGAAACGACCCCGCAACGTTGGATCGCCTTTCTGAAGGACGCCCACTTGTATAATCAAATCTAGCCC